CTGAAATGTTTTTGATTGCATACAAGTAGGACATCAGTTGTAACAAGGCGTGTCATTGTTTCTCATCCCTGTTATACCTTTCAGTTGTTGCCAGGTCTGATATTCTTCTTTATGACTTTTGAACACTGCTTTGATTTTAAAGGGACAGTATCAAGAAAAACTATCTCAGAAGTTTACAACTCTTTCTTAAGGACATCTTACTGGGAATTAGATTATACTAAGTAAGACAGCTGAATATGCCCAGAATTCACCTTTTTTTTTCTAAATAGCATATGACCTTCACAGAGCTAAACCAGTGCCTGAGTATTTCTAAGAGCTCCTTTCCTGATCTTTAGACTGAAGTTCTAAATTCCTGTGCTACTCTGTATTTAGGTATACTCTTTGTATATTAATTTTGCCCGCCACTAAGTTTTGGGCAGTAAAAGTAGACTTGTGCACATTTCCTGCTGTTTATTCATCTGTGGCATACACCGAGTTCCTTGAGTTAACAAGTTAGAAGTAAAAGTTACATTTTAATTGTCTGTTTTCTGTCATATTTTTAAAAAGAAATTATAAAAACAATTTCCTCAACATGCGGTGCTTTAAGTTCCCTTCCCTTGTGTTGTTTTTGGACCTGGAGTATTTTGAAAATGAGCTCTTAAAAAAACAATAGTATTTTGAAAACCTCCTACTGGAATGCATTTGAGTTATTCAAAGCAAATGCAGAGGAGGAACAGACTATGAAAATGATCTCTGATGAGAAAGCAGTGTTGTTTGCTTAAATCTTTCAGGATATGTTCTGTTCTGCATGGGCATGTGGACCTTTCTGGAACTCTATGAGAACTATGTGTACCCACCAGCAGAATTTTGCTCCTCGCGATGCAGAAATATGTTTAGAACACAGTGCAATGTCAAAATCTACTGGTTGTAAATGTCTAGTAGGAGCTAGACCTTTGGCCAGGAGTGTTGAAATGAAGAGGCCTGATGATCTCTTCTGTGAGGTCCCTACTTGAAGGATTATGCATCTCTTTCTGTACAAGAACAACTGTAATAGCTCCTGTGCCAGCAGTTCAGGGTGGGGGTACAGCATGGGCTCCATTTGTGCAGGAGGGCTTGAGAGCACATGTACCAAAACCCCTGTTGCTGTAAATGTAGCGTGGCTCTGCTGGTTTCAGCAGGTGATGCCACATCATGTCAGCTGATAGTCCAACCCACAGAGCTTTACATATTTATATATGAATGTTTTATTGTTTAATGGACAATTTAACTACTAGCTTGTTGAGATAAATCTCACTTACTAAAGGTATCAGGTGGGATTTTTCAGCGCTTCTACTCCCTCTCTGAGTATCAGACAATGGGAAGAGCCTTTAGATGCTTAGCAATTTTTCTCCTTCTGTTACCTATTCCCACATGTGCAGACAGTCCCTCAGTTATCACATGGCATGTAATTGCTGTAGAGAGCAGACTGATTTAAAGTAAGAGAATTCTAAGCAGAATCAGAGGAATTCCTTAAGCAACACAGAGTCTAACCAGAATCCTGTGTGTGCCGATCTATCACAATAAAGACTCCATTCCCTTTACTATATATAGATTATCAACAGAATCAGTTTAAAAACACAATTTTCTTAAAACAATCACCGAATCACCAGCAAATAACTCTTCCACCAATTAGCAAAGAATGATGGGTCTTAGTTCAGCCCAAAGTGTCTGACACATAGTGGCTCCAGATAAAATCTTTCCTGGACAGTTATAAATCCCAACAGCCATGTGAGGGAGGATGAAAGGAGCAAGGGACGGTAAGAACTATGTAACTCAGTTTTAGTGCTGTTGCTGATGAAATCTCAAAGGAAAGAGTCTTAAGAACCAGTGAGCACATGAATACAAGCAATATAAAAACAAGAATTTTAACTTCATTGGTGATTTTATAATGCAGGTAGTGAAACAGTTTCTTGTGTACAGTCACAGAGTCTTGAGAGATTCTTATTTAGCACGTGGGAAGAAACAAAAGGGTGAAAAATTACTATGTCCTGAGCAGTGCACTTGATGCTTATCCACTGTAGAAAACTATCTGTATAAAAGAGTCTGAAAAGAATTTGCTGCTGATCAGCATTTTAAACCTCTCTGTATAAATGCCTGTTATACTTAAGGCAGTCATCTGAAGCACTGACTTCCAGGTCAACCTGGATGAAATTTCACTTCAGACATCCTGAAGAATCCATCTTTGGTTATTCTTGTATTGATATAAGCTTCTTAAACTGATATATATGGTGACAACAAGGTAATTAGGATTAAAAAATAAACCAGCTATCCTCTGGTCACTCAAGTCCTATACAAAATCAGTCTCTTTATTCTGAGATACTTGCTGGTTCATGATGGCAACACCAAATGCGTGGGGATAGTTACAGTAATTGATGTATGATCTCATTTTTCTTCAGTGGTCTTATGCTCTGATTCAATCTTTTAGTGAGTTATAGGCTTTTGTGGTCCGGGTATTGATGAAATCTGCCTTCTTAAAATCAGCCTTTGGAATGAAAGAAACAGAAGAATTAATTAATCTTCATGCCAGTTCTGCAAGGGAAGGGTGAGTTCAGCTACCTAAAAGCCAGGAATGGAGCCACGGTGGGGGCTGGGCAAAGTCCTTTACAGTCAACAGAGCCAGAACAGGCATCTCCCATAAGTGACTCAGTTCAGTCTAAGATAGGTGAGATGAATCACTGCAGTTGCTTAACACTCTCCAATAGACTGTATGGGGAGCTTATTCTTCTAGCTCAGCTCTATAGATTCCTAACTCTTAGATAACTACTGTCAGCCAAGATTAACCCTATCTGAACAAGAGTAGAGGGCAATGACAAAATGACTCAGAATTTTATCAGTCTCATTTGATCAAGTGATTTCTGTTGCTCATTAAACTGGCTTATCAAAAATGTCTAGGCATTAGGTAGCCTGCAGTTTTCAGTGCTATCCCTGATGCCTCTAGGGGACCTGATTTGCACAGGAACAGTAAGTAATCAGCTTTTTTGAAACTCAGATCCAACAAATGTATCTTAAAAGGCATACACAAAGTACCAGTGACTTCAGAAAATTCATGCCATCAGGGATATTGCTGTACAGTAAAGTCAGGAATGTAGTTTCAAAAAAACCAGAGACAACAAAATCCAATTAAAGTTTTTATGGGTACAGCACTCTTATTCTTGAACACAGATTTCTGGTTTGTAGGTCAGCATTCTGCTAAGTGATGGAAGACTGTTCAAGGATACTACACTAAGTAACTTTTTCAAATTTCAACAAAAAATCTACAAGAAGAAACAACCTGATTAATAAATGCTAAAGACTATAGCTTGAAAAATCAATTAGTTTCTGATTACAGGGCATTTTGGGTGACAGGAATTCTGAATGACAAGATAACAAGGAATAAAACCAGTTTGAAATGCAGGCTGAGGGTAGGTAGGTTGAAATCAACCCAGCTATGTGTTGAAAAGCAGTCATAGAGCTTCAAAAAGAAAGAAACAAACTGGTTTGTTGGCAACTTCATGCTGGTCATTTTTTTTTTATTTAGACTGTGGCAGTAAATGTTTGCCAACACCTTTCCCAGGCCCTACCTTTTTGTCTGAAATGTAACTAACACCTGGGCTCACAGACCATACAAACAACAGGGAGAACAAACTGCTCTGATTTTGAAGCAGGCAACTGCCTCACCCTGCCTTGGTTTTTGCTGGCAACTCAGGCCTTCTGTGTCAGGTTGGTTCAGTCACTTGGTGGATGGACACCTACTGCGCATCACTTCTCAGCATTTGAGACTTCTGGCAGACAGCCACAATGTTTTTCACAAACTTTGCCAGTGGATATAAAGCCACAGAAGGAACTAATACAAACACAGATAAGCAAAATTAAAGGGCGCACATTATTTGTGCAGGACTATATACAAGTAATAGAAACACCAAATTCAGACACTACTCGAAATCCTGTCATAGGCTGGTTCTTAACAGTGCAGAAGTGCCAAGGGCCCCAGAGGACAAACAAGAGGGTTTTAAATCTGACATGACAGATTACAAATCTTTGCTCTAACCCAGATCTTACCTTTTTGTACACGCTGTGGAGATCAGTATGTGACCACAAGGAGTAGAGGAGGACTGAGGCCGCCCGACTAGCTTTGCTGAACATACTACTGCAATTTTGTGAAAAGAATGATAAAACATGTTTAAATTCCCACTTCCTAATCACAGTGCATGTGCAGACGTCAGCAAACGTAACCTTGTAGCGTTCATTCTGTTTATCTTTCATTCTAATTACTGTTTTATTGCTCTTCAGGTATTCTGGCACATTTCATGCTGCCCTGACTACTGAAACAAATGAAAAATGCCTCCCTGTTTCACGTATTCTTCAAAATTAGGGAGAAATTAAGTACTTTACAGCCTTCATCTGAGAGCAGCTACCATACTGTTCATACTCAGATTAGAGAAATACAACATTTAACATAACAGGCATTCAGAAAGATCTTTCCAGCAGGTAAAATCTCTGGTTAATTAAAGAAGATTTAAACTACATGGAGCCTCATGAAGCCTCCTTTATGAAGATGAGTTTCCTCTTTTATTTTGTAAAATGAGAGAAAGGCTAATAGAATCCATTCATATTCACAAAGCATTAATTTTTCTCTTTTGAGTAAATATTGGTTGCATATGATTACATATTAAATAAATGATTAAAAGAAACTCAAAATCTGTTACCTGAAATGCTCCTTTAAAAATATTTTTAAAGTACAGTTCTATCTGCTGTATAAAATGTATCTCTGCATTTTTCTGATAAAGATCAGGGCTGTGTTAGAAACTTTTTTGGACAGGTCAGCCACTTCATATATCAGAATACACATAATGTTGTGCCATTATCTTCTGAGAAGTTATTTAAAATGCTGGAACATGGCAAATGTAGCTGTGGATGGAACAGTTGTTATCAGAGATTTTTCTGTATTTCCCAGTATGTGCAATTCTATTCACATCACAGTCACTTCTTTAAGCTGTGCTGTACCTCGAAATGCAGTATTTTTTCCCCCCAAGTGGAAGAGGCTCCAGTTGGTTTTTTTTTCCCTGGGGAAAGAAGAGAGAGGGGAAGGCTTCTCGACCATCTTACCTGTCATTCATGCTGATGGTAATAATCTTTGGTAGGCCATTGGCACTCAGGAGAAGTCGTGCATTGTGTGAACTGCTCTGTGTCAAATTGTACAAGGTGTAGCAGATGGATGCTGTGGTTTCACAGACAATATCAGACCCTGGGACAGACTCAGGAAGTATCGAGACCAAATCAGGCAAAACTTCTCTAGCTACAAGTTGGAAGAGAGACAAGTAATTCCATTACCAACAGGTGCAGATTTATCTAGGGGTCCTACAAGACCATATTCCTCCTATTATCAGCTACCAGGGTGCTGTGTGGTCCTATGACAGAGTCAAGGTTTCATACCTGCACTACAATCCCACAGTTTAGGTTAAGCTGTGTCTGCACTGAATCTGACATGATGTATTTTGCCTCCTACACAAAACATGAATACCTTGTGTACTGCAGGGATGTCAGCAGTCATGGGCTAGCAGCAGGCTGCCACTTGCTGAGGAACTCTATGTGTCCTACTGGTATGGTAACACACAGCAAACTGAGAAAGGGTGACTGCAGCACAACTGTTAGTGTGGCACTTGTCAGTCATCAGCTGTAAGGGCATGCACATGCTCAGCCTTCTGAGCCTGTAAGCTAGGAAGTAAGCTAGTAAGCTGTATCTAGGAAGAACATAATATTCTGAAGTCCACCCCTGCTCAAGAAACACTTCATCACTTTAACCACACTAGATTTGACCCTATCAGCCACCTGAACAGCAGCTCTGCAAAGCAGCTGAGTCCTACTTTACACTGTGAGATCTGTGTCCTGGGGACCACAGCTAACAGAGCAAATTACAAGAATCGGCAAGAGCTCAGAGCCAGATGCTCCCACTGGAAGAACCAGAACTGGTTTGGGGCATTTGGGGCCATTCTCCACTCCCTACCTGTGTTTCACTTAGGTGGAGTGCTTTGCTCTGTGAGTTCCGTTCATTCCTCCACATGGGTGTGTGATAAGGTTCATGAATATTGAGATTAAACTAAATCCAATCAAAAAAAGGACCTTTAAAATGGAATGAACCACCTGCTATGCTAAGTATCACACAAAGCAGTTATGTCAGACATGATAGTCCATTCTTTCTTCCATTGGCAAACCAAGGCAGGCAATTTTCAGAATGTACATTCAGACCATCTTGAAAACGCCCGTTCAGAACAAATGTCATTTTTTCAAGTCAGATAAGTAATCTTCTGCTGTTTTCCAATCATTTTACTTCTAGAGATGTTTCCTATTACATTGATCTCAATTTGGTATCAAGGGTTAATTTTGCTTGATAAATACAGACACTTTTGTCTAGGAAAGAGTATGCTCTTTTAAATGTTTTCCTTTGGCCAAAATTATTGAAAGAATTTGACCTGAATTCACATATGTTTTCAACAAATAAAAAATAAGACCTTTTCATGGAGAAAAGGTTCACCTGAAATTGCCCCAGTTCTCTCTATCATGAGTAAAACAAGAAAATGACAGTGAATGTGGAAGATGATGCATCTTTCTCCAAAACTTCATGGTATACTGTCTTCCCCACACTTGCT